AAATATTCTTTTTTTCGGTACCGGTACTAGTTTTATTTTGTTGTATTTATCCGCGACACCTTAAAGGCCGGTCCATGAAAATATTGTCGGGCATAAACCGGTCCTTGGTGCAAAAAAGGTTGGGGACCGCTGCATTAAAGAGAAACCAGATTAACCAGATCATAAAAACACTGTTATTAGAACTGTAAATCAGATGAAATGAACGATTGTAGATTTTTTCAGTTTTTTTCACAACTGAATGTTGGTCAAATTCATATGTTTGTGTAAGACAATGTGGGATGTGTTTAAGCGTTATCATTAGAGAGAGCAGATCTGGAATTGGGGTTTAGCTTTAAACAAACACAAACTATATTGGTTGAAGTTTGGAATTGTTATTGATGAATTAATATGCTGTAATTTATCTGAAAGCAACATTCCCAAATTCTTAATGTATATCCAAAATGAAAATTGTTTTTATCGTCTCATGAAACTCCTGTGTTACCTTTTTTCTGGAACAACTACTACTTCACCTGTTCTTTTGTCTACTTTGAAAATCTTTTTTCAAACACCCCTTTTTCTGCTACGTTCTTTGTTAAACGTGTGTTCACCTCAATAAAACTAAAGTCTTTTAAAAACAGTGTTTTATGGTTTGATAATGTAAACTAACCTCTTGCCAGTTGGGCTGGTCAGTGACGTTACAAGGGTCCAGAGTACAACAGGATATTGGGACATTTCCCCCCCAGTCTGCCACACCGTGGACTCCACAGCACTTAAACTGTACAAAACACAACACTCGGGTTCAGTGGAGTAAACATGTCTGCTATCTGAGCTGGGAAAGGCACAAAATGATTTCCTATTCTGTTTATATCCAGTTCCATATATTTATTCTTTAACTCAATATTCATAGTATTACATTTAATGCTACAAGTTTCTACTTCAATGAGCCTGTTTTTCTGAGTTTGATGATTCAGTGTTAATATGAGCAGTATTTAGCTTTAAATGGTGGAGCAGGACATGCATGATTAATCTGACAGAGGAAAGCAGCTTATCATTTACCAGATACTGGATGGCATCAAAGTCATCTTTGAGTGTCTGATTTTCTCCTGGACCCGATATCTTGTAGACCTCCAAGCTGTGCATCAGATCTTTCTCAAAGTATGTGCCAATCTGCATGACAGAAAGGAAGCGAAAGAACAGAAATATACTGGAGCCTACTGGACATGAACAAAAACAGTGTTTAGATACAAGTGGGGATAAATAGCAGTACCAAATCAAACCAAAACAAGCAAAAAAAGTCAAAAAATGCGAGAACATATGCCGTAAGTCTGGAGAATGAACTTAGCTCCTTGGTTAATTAATATGTCCATCTACATAGAAACTAAGTATACAACACTTCAGTATGTGATGGACTCTTTCTTCAGCTTTTCCAGTATTGTAATAACAGGCCAATCAATGTGTCTGAGATGTGGCACTCAACAGATTCTCAATCTAAGAAATAATTCCACAACAGTAAAGTATGCCCTTGTTTTGAAGTAGTAAACTTTGAAACTTTATTTTTTCATTTCCAACTTTAAGCATACAGTTTTTATGTTTTGGTGGCTGTTAAAATTAAAGTTATATTTAAATAAATTGTACAAAATACCTGACCAAACCTGAAGACCCAGTGGCAATATTTGCTTTGGATAGGACTTTAATTCAGTCCAGTTCCATGTTGTCCTGTTTACTACACTATAAGTAGCAGCAGTGCAGCTGGAGGAAGCTAACAGCACTTAGTTTTTCATGAGTGCAATGCTAACAGCTTGTCTTTTTGTATATTGTGCTTTATGCTTAACTACAAATGCGGTGAAGTGAGCTGACACAGCTAACTCACCCTATTACTTTCTGTTACTTGTGTCTCTTAATACTTGCCGGGAAGCTTTTGTTCCACTTAAGGTAACACTATGTGACAATAAGTAGAATAGGTGGTTCAGATTATGTAGCACAGGTGGTTTTATCAATGGCTTCTCCAGTCTGCAAACCCTAAACTGTCCCTTATGCTTCACTGGCATGTAAATATGTGCAAAATAGATTTTAAAAAGAGCTTACAAGTGTGTGAATGATTGAATCTGGCTCGTAGTGTAACAACACTCTAAGACATTTATGAGACTAAACAATTTAATAGAATTCACACCTAGTTTTGACGTCAGCACTGGATGTGGGCATCATGGTAACTTGGCATTAAAGGGGTAATCATCATGGGACAAAAAACAACCACTCAATAGGCCATGTGAACTTGCTAGCAGCATGAACCAAGCTAGACAGCTTATAGAGGTGAATAAAGTGCATAGATTTTCTTTATTATGGTTCTGTTGCCATTATTTGATAAATTTTATGCTACAAATTTTGTCAAAATATCAAACCTGATATTATGCTACACATAAAGTAATCATTCTTTTCCTCTGGTTTTGGTATCACAACTGGAAAAAATTGGATTGGTGTACTTCTAATAGAAACCTTTAAATAACCTGGTATATGTATACACATATGGATACAGATAGTGACTGTCCTACCTCTCTGTTGTAGACAAAAAACACACAGGCCATGGCCAGCTCCACAGATATCAGGAAGGACAGCAGGACATAAAACTGTGTGGGTGAAAATGGGACACCACATGACTACATTTGCATCTTCTCAGCTAATTTCAGTGTACTGTATTTGCATTCATTCAAACTAAATGCAAAGCTCATTAAAAGCATAGTTATGCTAATTTAATAATGGATTGTATTTATATAGCGCTTGCCCTCAAAGCGCTGTACAATTCCACTATTCATTCACTCTCACGTTCACACACTTGTGGAGGCAACTACAGTTGCCCTGGGGCAGACTGACAGAAGCAAGGTTGCCATGTCACGCCATCGGCCCCTCTGGCCAACACCAGTAGGCGGTAGGTGAAGTGTCTTGCTCAAGGACACAACGACCGAGACTGTCCGAGCCGGGGCTTGAACCGGCAACCTTCCAGTTACAAGACGAACTGCCAACTCTTTGAGCCACGATCGCCTACCATAAAGTTTATCATTATTTTATAGTAACTCATTAAAAATCTCTGGGCGACATTGAGTCACTGCTTCATACTCACGCTTATGAGCATGCAGCGGTTCTCCCTCATGCCTCCAACCACTCCCAAGTAGCACACACAGGCGGCAATGGTACCAGTGACCACCAGAGTGTTGGCAGGGTAGACTGGCCAGAAGGAGGTGACTAGAGAGGCAAACCTGGAGTGCATCATCATGAATTCACCAAAGGCCACCACAAAGGCGTTGCTTAGCTTCACCATAGCAAACAAACACACATACACACATAAATAGGACAAGAGACATGTCACATTAATATTCTGAATTTGAGTCTATGTGGGTTTGCCTATATGGACTAAAACTGAATTTACACTCAAAATCAAGAAAGTTTGGGTTTTAATTTAGTCTCCCAAATAAAAAAAACAGCAGACGTCTGATGTTAGACAGAATCGTCAACTTATGACACACTGACTCACATCTAGAGTAAAGTAAACACTATATATGCAACTAGGAAAATGATACACTTCTCACAGCTTGTATTTATTTCTATTTATTTATGAAATGTTGCCTAGAGCCTTATTTTTGATTTTCTTTATATACAGAAAGTAATTTCCATCATAAACTAAACAAAATGGTGCATTAACATTTACAAGACATGAAACGCTGTGTTTGGCCCCGAGACCCACCATAAAATACTGAACATGTTGTAAAGACAAATAAGAAGACTGACAACTGATTTATGGAAGTAGCTAAGGAGATATTTACATAAGACACACACTACTGTACAATTTAAGCTGCTTGTATTCAGTATACTAATTTATATGTCTTTGCATAGCCGGAAAAAGTGTATTTTTACTTTTCGTTTTTTTTGTTTGTTTAGTTTTTGTCTAGATTAACATTGCACATAATTCATAATAACATGCATTACTACAGACTAACCCAGCTAATCTTGTTTTTTTTTCTAGAATTAAAATGAAACACTGGAGCATTATGGGTGCATTACAGAGGTCCCTCGCTACACGCGGTTCACCTTTCTCGGTCTCGCTGTTTCGCGGATTTTTTTGTGCAATTTTGCATGCTTTTTTTTTTTTTTTTTTTTTTACAGCGTATTGTGTTCTCCGTTCTGATTGGCTGTAGACCAATCGATCTCATGCCGTGTCTCCTGTACAATACAGAATGCGTTCAGCTTGTCAAATTTACATAAATCTTCGATCGCTAGCAGTGTGACTCTGAAGTACTGTACTGTATGTTTGTAAGTTTTCTCCCCAACAAACACAACAATGTCGACGAAACGTTTTGCACCGTCAAAGGCATCTGCAGGTGCCTTTGGTTTCATTCTATAATGCTGGACTTCTTTTTCTACGAAGGTTTGAACTTTTAGAGGGTTTAAACCATTGAGAAAAGTGGGGAAATGTTCGAGCCTCTCGGAGAAAAGTGTATAAAGTGTGTAGTAATGGGGTTTTACAGCCATAAAACATCTATAATAATTGTTGTTGTTTTTTTAAAATTAGATACCTCGCGGATTTCGCCTATTGCGGGTTATTTACTACCGTGATAAACGAGGGACCACTTTATTTCCATCACAAGTAAAAACGTTGAACGTTTGATCGGAGCCTAAAATGGTACTTTAATCCCCTCTTGTGGTCAAACGTAATCACGTGCATGCCTGTGGAAATTAAATGGTGCTCCTGACTGATAACAATTGCAAATGAATGCGCAATGTTCAGGAACTGTGGCACCACATTTACAAGTAGAAGGTAGTTCCAGCTGCTCCCTTATTTCCCAAGGGCTGGTCACAGCAGATGGATATGCATGTTGATGTGGCACAGATTTTACCCCGAATGCCCTTCCTGACACAACACTCCCCCATTTTGTTGGACAAGGTAGGCAACTACTATCTGTCTATCTATCTATAACTATTTACCATAATGTGTATCTATAAATGTGTATACTGTAAGTGTGCTATGTCATCTGACTGGAACTGGTAATTCAGTTACATGACAACCCATGTTTTCTGTAGTCTGGGTGGGTCTCTTACCCCAACGTACCTACCCAGCAGAGGAAGTGCAGAGCTGTCACCAGAGATTTCAGGCAGTTCACACAGGCGCTAGTCATCCTTACTGATAATCTTCCTCTGTCAGAGTTTGTCACATTTATTACCATAAAATACAAAATGACACTTTAGATTAGTCTCACTAATGGGCTTAAATGTTTGAGACATAATACTGCTATAGACAGTTACTGTTTACAGTACACTTTTGTTTGATGTGACAACACTGACCCTTAAGTCACAATGGACACTTGTGCTCTGTTTAGGCTCCTGTTAATCATTGTTATCTGCTCTTATCTCCACATTAACCATTTGTTGCAAGTTTGTATCTAAATGGGATTATGTGACAGCAGCTCACATGACAGCACAAAACCTTCACTTGTAACCAAATTTCCATATCTTGTGCTTCCTAATTTATTACAAACATGTAAATAAATTCAAATGAAATGATAAATTCAGACACTAATTTTGTGGTTGAGATAACAAACCAATTGAATAATCTAAGGACCTACCTTGACTAATCTGTATCCAGCAATATCTCTGTGACAGACGTGTGTGAGCAGTAGCCCAGCGTTGCTTCTCTCATTGCCAGGGTTAACTAACAATAAGGAGGAAGGAAAACTAACTAAAAGGGTGTGGAAGGGCAGTTGACATACTGGGTAGATACACCCAGTATGTTTAGTAACAACATTAAAGAGGAGGGGCATTCACGCCTGGCAAGAGAGAGGTCTGTAATAAAATACATTTTGAAAAAATAACAAAACTGTTGAAAGACAGTTGAATTTACTTTGAAAAACACTAACCATATCACAGTCTCAGGTGAAGCAGATTTTCATCAATGACCTCTTGAATTTTGCTGGACTCATTTTTTGCTTAGAGGAAAATCCATGGCAACATGCTATCACTTTGCTTCACTGCAGAAATGCAATTAGTCAGAGGCTAAAACTGGATTTTCCAGGTAGGAGATCGATGAAATCTATTGTAGCAGATTCTTTTTCGTTTACAGTCTGCAATCAGGTGGCTTGTGCGCTTGATGACATTTAATGCTCCCTGTGGACTTATTCAGTTGACTTCAACAATAAATAATTAAGATGCTACATAAATGATCAGAATTACTTTCCAACCCCTAGTCAGTATAAATCTAGTATAAATGCGATTGGAAAACTTGTACAGTAAGCAGATGGGACAGTGAGGTGATCATCTTGCATGATACTGCTGTGGATCTATAATATGTTATACAGTGTTGGGTCTGCGCTTCCACAGGCCCCGCTGATTTAGAAACTTATTCCTGTTAACGAAACAAGGAAGCAAGACAAACAGCTTTAACTGGTTTTTACTTGCTAGCAAGGGAGGCTGGTCGGAACCAGGCTCTAGGAGCTAAACACTCCTCACTTGTCTCCTAGCCAACTTCAAATAAACAGCCTTCCTTGCCACCTCTTATTGAAAACAGTTACAGTACACATAAGCACCACACATTGTAAAAAACCCCTATGGTTCTAAGAGATAAGGTACTGTGAGTGTGTGTGGGGGGGTACGTTTGTGTGACCTCCTGCCCACAAAAGGGTCATAAAGGCAGGAAGCTTACTAAACAACAAAACAGAACCCTCACATAGGATGTCCCATAATAAACCACTACAGCCTCCCCCACCGTTCAACAGTCTGGGGAGGTCAACAGAAACAAATGTCTTTGATCCTATAGTTTGAACCAAGACTTACAAATTTAAGTAACACAATGACAACATTTAACAATTTGACTCCAACATACAGTAGATACAATACAGGAACTTTCAGTTTTTTGTCCTAAAACATTCATTATGGTATTTTCACTTCTATTTGTTGCCCACCATGTTTGTAGTGTAACTAATATTTCCTGATTGATAAGTCAGGATGTCAAGTATCATTTCAAAAATGTGAACAAATGTTTTTTTGTTTTTGTTTTACAATACTTTTAAGTCACCTTGTCCAAAATGTACATGACTAAAAGTAAAATTGAATACTGTATCATGTTGTATTCAGGAAGACAAAAGCTCATCAGTGTTTGCTGAGGCCTTAACTGAAATGACTTCAAGGGTTAAATGGCTTAAACCATCTCCATCCTTCCCCGCTGGCCATTAGAAAGAACACAGGCTTAAGAGATTTCAGCACTTCCATCTTCACGTTCACCTGGGAACTTTCATCTTTTTACACGGTCTTGATAAAACTTTTAATAATAATAATAATAATAATGGATTGCATTTATATAGCGCTTTACAATTCCACTATTCATTCACTCTCACATTCACACACTGATGGAGGCAAGCTACAGTTGTAGCCACAGCTACCCTGGGGAAGACTGATAGAAGCGAGGCTGACATATCGCGCCATCGGCCCCTCTGGTCAAAATCTAAACCTTTTAACCTTAAACATACAGTGTGGAGGGCTTGTGATAACTGTGAAGATAAAGACTGCATCTGAACACCTCGAGCCTCATCCTACACTTCCATGTAGGTCACTAGTTTAAGTGATTATAAACCAATTAATCACACATCGGCAGTTGAATGGCCCCCAAATTCTCCCGATCTGACCCCCTTAGACTTTTATCTTTGGAGTCATCTGAAGGCAATTGTCTATGGTGTGAAGATACGAGATGTGCAGCAACTGAAACTACGGCTACTGGATGCCTGTGCTGGCATTTCTCCTGCTATCAGTGTGTGAAGAGTGGGAGAAGAGGGCTGCATTGACAATCCAACACAATGGGCAGCACATTAAACACATTTTATAAGTGGTCAGAAACTTGTAAATAACTTATGAAAGAATAAAGTTACGTTGAAACCAAGCACACCATTGTTTTTCTTGTGACATTACCAATAAGTTTGATGTGTCACATGGCCCTCTTCCTATTGAAAAAACAAAAGTTGCATCCAAGATGGCCGACTTCTAAATGGTCACCATGGTCATCACCCATCTTGAGGAGTTTGCCCCCTCACGTATACTAATGTGCCACAAACAGGACTTTAATATCACCAACCATTCCCATTTTATTACGGTGTATCCATATAAATGGCCCACCCTGTAGTTCAATTTCTTGAATACACAAGGCACTGTACATGAAAAACGTTTGCAGAGAAAACTAAAAACAGCACCACAACGAAAAAAAATAAACAAACTTTTATTGAAGAAAAATAATCGCACACAAACAAGATTTACACACATTTTTCAGACAAGGGTTGAGCTTTCTTTTTCTTTAATTTGATAATAAGCTGAACACTATTATTAAAAAAAAATCCCTAAATGGCTGATTTCCCCAGTGACAGCACACGCTGAATGACACAAAAATGAAACACCTACATTGAAAAAAAGAAAAAAAACAAATCTGTAGCTTTTTTTTTTTTTAAAGGGCTGGAAACTGATTTTAATTAGAGTGAAATACTGATTGATATTGCTTCAAAAATCTATGAAACAGTCCACAAAGCTCCAATGAACTAAACACTGAAGTGCTTTTTGGGCAAATGTCTTCCTGAATGATTAGTCTGTTATTGAATGGATGAAATGAATTAAGGCTGTCATTATATCAGTTTTATTTGTACTATTATTGCTGTGTAAAAAAAAATATCGATAATTGAAAAAAAACCTTGCATCAATGCTGGTAGCAAAATTCTTCTATAGCTTTATCTAGTGCGTGCTGTTTTTTTGGTAAGCTATTAAACTATTAGCTATTAAAAGTGAAGCTATTAAACTCAAATTACAAGTACATGGAAGTGGTGAGAACCCAAAACTGCACAACAGCAAACAAAGACATGAATTACAATTTTTCTTTTAACAAATATTATAGGCGCATTGCTAATACAATATTAAGATCTCGCTTTTAAATATCCCAATTATCATTCATTCATTGATGCTGTCGTGACCACAAATATTGATACATCTACAGATTTTCCTGATATACTTCTAACAGATTTTAACCATTAAAATTCTTCTTATTATAGTCTATTATAGTTTTTATTAGCAATGTCAATATGAATGACATTTTTCTATAAGCATAAAAAAGTAAAATTACAAGTGCATAGAACTGGTCAGAGACGACCAATTTTTAGGACTTTTATTACCAATATCAATATTGATATCAAAATCTAACACCCCAATATATATATTTCTCTTTTTCCAAGGAACAAAACACAATGAGATTTCCCTAATCTTGGTCTTGAGTAGTTATTTCATTTACACATTTGTGCTACTCCTGAGTATTATCAACTTGTTAAAATCTGTCAGGCTCACAATTATTGATGATATCATGTGATATTGACTGTGCACTTTCTTAATATCACACTTAACATTTTGTGTTTTGCTGTACCCCCAATATTGATACATTGACTGGTTGTCTTTATATACTGACTATTCACATTTATCACAATAATGATAATACTGCAAAATCTAAAGAAATTTCGAAATGATTGCATCACTTTGCTCACCAAGTTGTCTCTAATAGTTATTGTCAGTGCATGGTTATTGAATGAATGGCACATCAGTGCTTCTTTAACCAGTGAGGTGTGAGCTCTACATCCATGCTGGAGAGTTTCATGATATTTGAGGTTTTACTGAGTACTCGAGGTTTCTTCATAGACACAATAAAGCTTGACATCATTTTTTGTTTTTTTCTTCCTCTTGGTTTGAGTGATCAGTTTAATCAAACTCACATGACTACATGATGCAGCATATGGCTGTTAATGTAAGTGTGTACAGAGCAAAACATCAATTGCTACCAAGTTACTGGTTGGTGGAAAAACTAAAAACATCAGTGCTCCACAAAGAGTGACACTGACAAACTGTTCTCAGATAAACTCTTAAATCAGCTTATCATTTCTGAGACCTGTTTGTAACGTCAGAGTGTAGATCAAGCCATGGAAGTGATGTCAAACAGAAAATAAATGTTGAGCTCAAACTTGCAGAGAGGATCAAAATGAGAGTTTGCCTGTAATGGTCCTAGTGAGGCACTTTATTCAGCACTGGTAACGCCACTCTATTCTTTTACACATAGCATTGAGCTCACGTATCAGCAATATTTATATAAATATTTTCACTTGTTGAATAAATGCTGGATTGCTGTATAAAGTTATCTCAAATAAAATGACAGTCCAGTTTTTTTTTTTCTTTACTGCAGCAAAAAGTATAAAAAGATTCACAGGCTCACTGGTCTTCACAGCAGCTACAAGTCAAATTAGAGTGGTGCTCTCTGCACATCACAGAGCCATGTGCGTGAGGCATTTACAGTGGGTGCATTAGCATGAACTGTAGAATCAACCAGGCAAGAAAGTTCTGCACCTGTTTGTTCATTAAATCTACTCTGGAATTAAATCGTTACCATCAGTTGTAATTGTCGTGTATTGTTGGCTGAAGAGAACAAAGAACAACAGTCAAAGATGAACTACTCTCCCACACATTCATTGATGGGCATGCCACATAAGTTGTTGCTCTCAGTGCAGCCACCATACTGTTCAGGTCTTAGCCAGGTCTTCTAATGCATGAAGGTCTACGGAGAGAGAAGTTCTTCAAATATTAAAAACAATCAGATCTCACTGAACGTTTATATGAGACGAGGCTTAGTGCATCCTAACCTACTTCTATAATATAATGTTTAACATGAATATTTTGATAGTCTACTGTGAACCCTGTTGGAAATATAAATTCAGCTGTCTCGTTTGGGAATCGTCACACAAAACAAGTGCATCTGAATAATGCTACGTAGCTCTAACTATTGTAATTCAGGTATACATTTAAGATAGCTGTTGCAGTATGGTACATTAGTGACGCAACTGATAATTTATGACTACTTAACACATCACCAATTGGGAACGAGGCCCTGATTAGGGGATGTTTTTAAGCATAAAGTTAATCTCACAACAAGTAGTCCCTGCTGGCCCAGGGATCAGTAAACTCACAATGGCCTTTGTGGTAGTCACACAAAAAGACAAAACACCTTTAAGTGGCCATATGGCACTTAATTGTGTATTTTCCGACTGCTTGTGAGCAGTTGTTGGCAGTCACTGAAATCGACTGAGGGATGAGTAACCACCAGTCTCCACCAAAAAGTGTGTGTTCCATGACTGGTTGGCAAGTGATTGCCCGAGGTTGCTAGTGTGAAGTTGGTATAATGCTGCTACATTAAAAGACTGTTTGCTAGCAGGTTGGCATGGTCACCAGCAGCTTGTGCCTGGATGACCAATTGCCTACAAACACAAAGTACATGTCAAGCAGAAGTGAACCTGAAGGGTCAACACAAACTAAAAACATTTGCCTTCAAAGTAAAAATTGTGCCTTGCTCTTGTAACCAACACATTTCAAACGGCACAACTTTTACTCTGATTTGTGTTGCATTTTTTTCTTCCCAAAGTTTCACTACAGGTCAGAGAGTAATGATAATGTTAGCATACTCCAACCACAGCAATCAAAAGGTGGTTTTTGGTGCAACTTCTTTGTGATGATTTCACCCAGCAACAGCAGCAACCACTTGCCAACAGGCCCTCTGTAGAGATGTGCTTGATCTATGACGAATCATTTTAAGCTAACTTTTTAAAATGTTAATGGAAGCTAACATTGTCATTCAGAATTTAAAAGTCTGATTAATCATCCGGGACATACCAGTGGCAGAATATGTGCACATATCTATGCCACTCTGCTAGCTACCTACAAAACAGCATTTCTATAGTGGGCAAGCTAACAAACAGGCCCAAGTCCCATCTGATTTGATATGTGAAAGTTGCAGGTAAGTCACAGATATAATGAAAAGTCATAAGGAAAATGTTGATGTACAAATAAGCATTTTAAGGGTCACGTATTTAGAAAATAAAATAAACACAGGATTATTAGTAAAGTTAGTGAATTGCCAACAAAAAATTTAAATGACAATGAAAGAAGCGCCCAACTTCGCTACCATGACTTCTACCCACTCTGCGCTGGCTCAGGTCCGCAGAGATACCCCAAACTCCAAAATTGTGTAACGTAATGTCAGCAAACTCAGCATCTGATTTAGTAACTCATTCTGTTGTTTTTCTTACTTCCTGCTGGTAGAAACAGTGCCTCAGTTAGTGCAGATAAAAAGTCCAACCGCGCTTCAAGTTTAGATGAACATATTTTTAAAATGATTTTGCTTCACTACAGCAAGCAGAGCTTTATCTCATCAATCTTCCAGAAATCTTAAATATTTTAAACCACAGCTCATGTATTCATTTGTTCTCATGGCTCTATGCTTCAAACCCACTAAAGTTCAGTTTGTTCGATTTGTGTCATTGAGTCTTTGCATGTTTGTTCATTAAAAACACATTCTGCGGACTGGCTGATCTTTCCTCAGTAAAAGCGTTTGCGTTTGTTTTCCTTCCAGCGCCCGTAAACTATTAGCCCTACCACTCCCAGCACGACCAGGCCCACGACTGTGAAGAGAAGGGTGAAGAACAGCTGGACTCCACTCATCCCTTCCTCCTCCACTTCCACTGCAAAGTAAAAGCAAAAAATATTAGAAAAGAAAAAAAAATGGCTGAAGTTTCAGCCCTCTGTTCTCCCAGCTGTAAACATGAACAAATAATATCAATTAGATATACTACATGTATGAGATGTGCCCACATACTGGATTCATGTCTGCCAGTATCA